TACTTTCTGCTTTTGTTCGTGCATGCTGTGAGTAACAATTGGCAAAAAGAAGACAAAAGTTGTGGCGCAAAGAGTTAACTATAGACATGCATTCTACATTGATAATAAGAGGGATTGAGACAGTTGACCATTTTACCTATCTGGCATCTACAGTGAATGAAAAACTATCGCTGGACCATGAAAGCAACATCAGGATAAGCAAAGCAGCAACAACAATTAGCAGATTAATTTTGTTGAAAGTGTTTGGGAAAAGCGTAAGCTCGTGGTTAAAACAAAAACACTAATCTATACGGCTTGTGTTCTCAGAAATCTGCTTTATAGTATTGAAACCGGGTCAACTTTTTCACACCAGAAAAAAGAAAAAGCTAAATAGCTTTCATAAGAGGAGCCTAAGAAGCGTACCTGGCATTCTGTGGCCAGACAAGATCACAAACACTGAAGTATTGGAAAGAGCAGATATTACAACAGTTTTCTCAGTGCTCAGTCTTCGATGGCTCAGGTGGCTGGGTCACACTCAGAGAATGGGGGAGGGCAAAGTCCCTAAGGACATCCTCTATGGTAAATCACAGAAGGGTAGAAGATTTCGCAGTCGACCTCTACTGCGATTTAAAGACTCGCAACGACTTAGCCACGGACGCCGCCGGAAAGAGAAAAGGATGCCAGTAATATCACTGATTTGATAATCGATATCATGGCATGCCTGGCATTCCTATAGATACCTCCTCTCTGGCAGTCTTGTGGTATACAAGGTGACTGTTCCAGTAGCACACGTGTTACACATATCGCACTCTTCCTGTAATTCTTCTTACACGATAAACACTTAATTCCAAATTCACACAGCCTTATACGCCATGTTTCATCTAACTCTTAGTTTATATTAATCGGTGGTGTATGTATGTATTCTCTAATTTGTGCTTTTTTAAAAAACATTTGTGAAGGTATTTTAAAACTTCAAATATAAAAATGACAATTGTTTTAAAAACAAGTTCTCTCTCTCCGGATTTGCAATGATATCTCAAGGATGAGAATAAAACAGATACAAATCACGGAAACCCCGTTCAACCTTATAGCCATGTATCCCAGTTATACAGGGGCGCAACTTATCGAAGATAATTTATCACAGATATCAGAACATCATTTTCGGCCATGATATAAGAAGAGGGAAAATGAAACATGTTGTGACCGCTGCAAAGATTTGTGGAAGGAGGGACAGAGGAAGACAACGAAAGAAGATTCTTGACAGTCTTGCTGCATGGCATGGAGGTGTGTCAGCATATAAACTGATACATGCTGCAGGAGATCGCAGATTATGGAGAGGCATGATCGCCCACTCCAATCGGCAATGCACCTAATGATGATGATGATGATGATGATAATGATGATGATGATGATGATGATGATGATGATGATGATGATGATGATGATGATGATGATGATGATAGAGGCGCCCCAAAACAGTTACGAAGTAACTTGTAGCCCAGTGTGGGAGGGTTGTCAATCTGTCGACAATGTCATTCAATCTATCGGTTTGTCCCCTACCAGCTGCTACATGAAAGTTTTCACCCTGGGATAAACACATCTCAATCTGGAAAGGAGACCAGCAAGGCATATTTCCGACACCCCACCCCATTTAAACTGCAAAGAAGTTATAAATAAATGGTTACTCCAGTCTGATGTAACCTGCAAACCTGTTCAGGTGATGGAGACAAAGGCCTAGGTAGGTGCTTTGCCACGTTCAGCCAGCATCCTCGAAGGGGGAAGCTTTAGGTTATGATTGTGATTAGGTTATGTACGCCACATTATATGGCTTAGCATTGCACGCCCCCAAGAGCCATGAAAAGGAGTCCTGTGGTGACGATGCGATCAAAGAAGACGGACCCAAGTACAGTCCCGATCAGCGACGAAGTCGTCTAATAGTGAACAAATGGGCAACCCAATCGCCGATGTTAGTTGCGTATCATTTACAGGACAGTGGAATTAAGTTGAGCTGAGTCAAGAACTGACATCACAGCACTCGGAACATTGCCATGCGTACTCCGTTCTCATCTTCAGCATCCAGCGCAGAGTTCCTTTACAGGACATTGCAGAACCAACCGCAGCATTTTTTTTTTAGCTGTTGTGGTTTTTCTATGCAAATATACGTTTGTCATTTCTTTCTGCACGGTCAGCTTATCTATACCACAGTCGAAACCAACGCAAGGCAAAAGGAGAGCAGCTGGAATCGAACGCGGCACCCTCGGCATTACGTAAGCTAGGTCACAACGCATAAGCCACAGACGCCGACTGGTTTCGCCGATGAGGCAAAGGTATTTTGGATTGAAAATTATATGTACACCGAGTTTTTTTTTAAAAGGGACCCCAATCACTCATGTTTATTTACAGAAGTCGCGCAGAGTTAATCTGTACTGCTAATCTCGTCTGCAGCAGAAGCAAGTTTATAATATATTGACGGTTTCCAGCGATCGGCCCAGCATCACCTTTGTATTCCTTGTACCCGAACATGGCAGACTCCGCTGGGATGGGCATCAGTCATCCTAGTGCAAAACTTCTCTCCCTTAGCAGTCCTTTGATAACTTGGATATTTCAGTTGCTAGAAGATGAAAGGGTAAGACATAAACTTATAAGTAGTAATAGTGTAATAGTAATAGTATTTTAATAATTTTATTAAAGAAAAAAAGGTGCCGGTACTCACCACAAATTCAAATTGCAGTGGTGGCAGAAACGCTAGAAATTGATAGGTTCGCTACTGCGTACCATTGATTTTCAGACCTTTAAACTTGGATCTTATTGCAAGTCATTTGTGTTCTTAGCTTTAAATTCCCCATTAATCCAAGTCATTCCCTGTGGGATGCAATTTTTCGTTATTTTAAACCCCCCCCATGACTTTGGGATTTTGCCGGGACACCCTGAAANTCACACATCACACATACACACTAAACCTACCACATCACACATCCCCAAACTACAACATAACAATACACACTAAACATACTCAACATACATCATACATCCCCTCTACATACATACATACTACTACAACATACAACAATATACATACATACAACATACTCATCATACTACATCATCATACATACTAATACTAATAACTAACATAAATAATACATAAAATACATCTACATACTACATCCCCTACAACATCATACTTCAACTACTAATACATACATACATACAACTACTACATCTCTACATCATACTACATCATCATACATCATACATACAATATACATCATACTACATACTCTACATACAACATACATACTACATACACATACACATAAACATACATACATACAACATCATACATACATACACCAACAAAAAATACATACTACAACAAAACTCATACTCAACATAAAGCATCAGACATACGAAGCAGACTTTCAAATGCCCTGTTTATTCTTGATTGTCATTTTGGGAAGTTTTGTCACATGGGAATCGCAGCTGGTTATTAGTTTTAGTCTTTCCTCTTGTGTCAGTGGGGCACTAGGAGGGGGTCTGACTCTCCAGAGGGGGTTCGTTGCAATCCTTTAGGTTTTGGGATTTTGATTTGCCCATGAGGGGCCCTTTCCCCTGATGATTTTTCTAGTAGGGTTTTCTCTTGGTCTGCCACGAATCTTTTCCCCTGTGGTGCCCAAAATTGGGCTTGGTAAAAGTCTGATTTATCCTTCAAAGGGCGGGGCCGACAAGTTCCGCGGGTTTTCTTTTAAAAATTAGACAATCTTTTGCCGGGATTTTCCTTTTTGTGTATTTGTTGGGAAAATCTGCCATTGGAAATTTAGTTTCTTCTAGGCATTTATTTTAAAAAACTGCTTTTTTTGTGTCTAAGGGTTTTTTGATTTCCCGCTCTCGCATCCATAGGTTAGAACTGGAAAACCACAAGAATTGAAGATCTCTGAACTGTTTGTCTTCTTCTTCTTCACTTCCTCTTTTACCGCTGTGGGTGTCGAGGGAGATATAAGGTTCTGTTTCTAGCTCTTCTGGCTGCCTCGACCATAGGCACATCGTGCTGTTGTAGAGTTTCTCTGATGTTATCCTTCCATCTTGTTCTTGGTCTACCCCGTGCTCTACGTCCTTCTTCTCTTTCCATGTATGCTTTGTATGGTATGGTGTCACAATGCATTCTCTCTAAGTGGGCAAACCATTTCACTTGCTGTCTTTGTATGTAATCCAGAATTGGTTCTGTGCCGACTTGTTCTCTTATGATCTCATTCCTGATCTTATCTCTTATGGTCACTCCTACTGCCCTTCTCAGACATCTCATTTCCGTGGTTATTAATTTTCTTTTATGGTTTGTTGTGAGTGACCATGTCTGGCACTGGTAGCACAGAGTTGAAATAAATACGCTTTGAATAAGATGTCTCTTTGTGCTGATTGGGATTGTCTTATGCTGTAAGAGGGGGCTAGCTGTCCCAATACTTGGTTTGCTTTACTGCATCTAATGTCAATTTCTTTATCCAGTTTCCCATCTTCGGTAAATGTAGTTCCCAGATATTTAAACTCAGATGCCTGTTTAATGCCTTTGTATTCTATTGCTATGTTTAGATCTGTCTTCTTTTTTCCTATTGACATTACTTCTGTCTTTTCAGTGTTGATTCTCATATTATTTGTTTTACATTCTTCATTCATGGATGTTAGATGTTGTTGCAATTTCATGGCTGTATCTGCTATCAAGGCCTGGTCATCTGCAAAGAGTAATTCGTTGATCTTACTATGATCTTCATTCATGGGCTTGGCATTCTTGCATATACTGTCGATGTAGGTGATAAACAGCAGTGGTGATAAGACACACCCCTGTCTTACTCCCGATGTCACTGTGAAAGGATGAGATGTTCCCTGATTTATTCTAACTACACTTCTACAATCCCTGAACTGTTGGTAAAGTCTAGAATTTTTGTTTTTGCGGTGTTAATTTGGAGTCCAATTTGTTCTGAGAATTTCTGGAGTCGATTGATTTTTTCTTGGGCGTCTGTGTGTTCTGAACTCAGGAGTGCTATGTCGTCGGCGAAGTCTAGGTCTTCCAGAATTTTGTCAACCCATGTAATGCCTAAATTTGCGTTATTTATGCACTTGCGCATGACCCAGTCGATTGCTATACCAAAAAGCATCGGCGATAGGACACAGCCTTGCTTCACTCCTGTTTCCACCGGGAGCCAGTCAGAATTGCCGGAATCAGTTCTTACACAGCATCGTGTTTCATTATAAAAAGATTTTATGATGTTGATATATTTGATGGGGAAACCATAGATGTTAAGCAATTTCCAGAGTGTTGGACGATGGATACTGTCGAAGGCTTTTTGAAAGTCGACAAAGTTGATCAATAATTTCGACTGGAATTCTGTAGAATCTTCAACAATTATTCTAAGAGTAAAGATGTGGTCTATGCATGACCGCTTGGATCTAAAACCGGCTTGTTCTTCCCTTAATCTTTCATCTATGGATTTTTTCAATCTTTCTAGTAGCATACTACAAAATAGTTTCCCTGGTATCGAAAGCAGGGTGATGCCTCTCCAGTTGTTACAATCGGATAAATCACCTTTTTTAGGTAATTTGAAGATTACACCATCTTTCCATTGCTGTGGTGGGTATTCGTTTTGCCAGACTTCATCCATCAGCTGGAGCAAATGTTGCAGGGTGTTTTCATCCGCTGCTTTGAGCATTTCCCCTGAGATGTTGTCCTCTCCGGTAGCTTTGTTTATTCTTAATTTTTTAATAGCTGTTTTAATCTCCTCTATTGTGAATGACTCGCTGGAGGCAACTAGTGTCGGTGTAATAATTTCTTCTTCTAGATTGGGAATGATGTCAGGATTTGGCCTATTTAATATTTCCTTGAAATGTTCTGCCCATCGCTTTGTTTGTTGGTCGTCGGATAGCAGTAGTTTACCCTGCTTGTCTTTAATGGGTGTATTTAGTGTAGGTGAGTGATTGCACAGTTGTTTCATAATATGGAATAAGGCTTTGTTGTTTCCAATCTTGGCAGCTGTTTCAGCATCGGAGGCGAGGTCGTGTATGAAGTTCTGTTTGTCTTTCCTTGCATTTGATTTCACTTCTTTGTCTAGCGTGCTGTATTTTTCGTATGAAGATGTGTCTTTTTTTGGATAAAAGTGTTAATTTTGCTTGTTTCCTTTCTTGGATTTTTGACCAAGTGTTGTCGCTTAGCCACTTCTTCTTCTACTTTTGTACATAACCAACTGTGTTTACTGCAGCGTTCGTCGGTGTGTTCTTGAAAAAGTCCCAATTTTTGTCTGTTATTTGTAGTATCCGCATTATTAGTTTTGGTTACATAGGTGGTGAGTATCTCTGTATTAAATGCGCTTTGATGATCTTTTGACAAAAGGGCTTGTAAGTTTATTTTCTTATTTCTGGGTGGTTTAAGTAGAGACTAGAGCTTGTGAAGGCATTTTAAAACTACAAATATAAAAATGACAATTGTTTTAAAAACAAGTTCTCTCTCTCCGGATTTGCAATAACTTCTCAAGGATGAGAATCAAACAGATACAAATCACGGGAACCCCGTTCAACCTTATAGCCATGTATCCCAGTTATACAGGGGCGCAACTTATCAAAGATAATTTATCACAGATATCAGAACATCATTTTCGGCCATGTTATGAGAAGAGGGAAAATGAAACATGTTGTGACCGCTGGAAAGATTTGTGGAAGGAGGGACAGAGGAAGACAACGAAAGAAGATTCTTGACGGTCTTGCTGCATGGCATGGAGATGTGTCAGCATATAAACTGATACATGCTGCAGGAGATCGCAGATTATGGAGAGGCATGATCGCCCACTCCAGTCGGCAATGCACCCAATGATGATGATGATGATGATGATGATAATGATGATGATGATGATGATGATAGGGGCGCCCCAAAACAGTTACGAAGTAACTTGTAGCCCAGTGTGGGTGGGTTGTCAATCTGTCGACAATGTCATTCAATCTATCGATTTGTCCCCTACCAGCTGCTACATGAAAGTTTTCACCCTGAGATAAACACATCTCAATCTGGAAAGGAGACCAGCAAGGCATATTTCCGACACCCCACCCCATTTAACCTGCAAAGAAGTTATAAATAATGTAACCTGCAAACCTGTTCAGGTGATGGAGACAAAGGCCTAGGTAGGTGCTTTGCCACGTTCAGCCAGCATCATCGAAGGGGGAAGCTTTAGGTTATGATTGTGATTAGGTTATGTACGCCACATGATATGGCTTAGCATTGCACGCCACCAAGAGCCATGAAAAGGAGTCCTGTGGTGACGATGCGATCAAAGAAGACGGACCCAAGTACAGTCCCGATCAGCGACGAAGTCGTCTAACAGTGAACCAATGGGCAACCCGATCGCCGATGTTAGTTGCGTATCCTTTACAGGACAATGGAATTAAGTAGAGCTGAGTCAAGAACTGACATCACAGAACTTGGAGCATTGCCATGCGTACTCCGTTCTCATCTTCAGCAGCCAGCGCAGAGTTCCTTTACAGGACTTTGCAGATCCAAACCCAGCATTTTTTTTTTGTAGCTGTTGTGGTTTTTTCTGTGCAAATATACGTTTGTCATTTCTTTCTACACGGTCAGCTTATCGATACCACAGTCGAAACCAACGCAAGGCGAAAGGAGAGCAGCTGGAATCGAACGCGGCACCTCGGCATTACGAAGCTCGTTCACAACGCATAAGCCACAGACGCCGACGGTCGCCGATGAGGCAAAGGTATTTTGGATTGAAAATTATATGTACACCGAGTTTTTTTAAAAAGGGACCCAATCACTCATGTTTATTTACAGAAGTCGCGCAGAGTTATCTGTACTGCTAATCTCGTCTGCAGCAGAAGCAAGTTTATAATATATTGACGGTTTCCAGCGATCGGCCCAGCATCACATTTGTATTCCTTGTACCTGAACATGGCAGACTCCGCTGGGATGGGTATCAGTCATCCTAGTGCAAAACTTCTCTCCCTTAGCAGTCCTTTGATAACTTGGATATTTCAGTTGCTAGAAGATGAAAGGGTAAGACATAAACTTATAAGTAGTAATAGTATTTTAATAATTTTATTAAAGAAAAAAAGGTGCCGGTACTCACCACAAATTGCAGTGGTCTGGTGGCAGAAACGCTAGAAATTGATAGGTTCGCTACTGCTTACCATTGATTTTCAGACCTTTAAACTTGGATCTTATTAGTATTACAAGTCATTTGTGTTCTTAGCTTTAAATTCCTCATTACTCATTAATCCAAGTCATCCCCTTGTGGGATGCAGTTTTTCGTTATTTGTAGCCCCACTATGGCTTTTGCCGGGTCACCCGGAATATAATATTAATATAGCTGGGCCACACTTGTGTCCATAACGGCTGAAAGGGATTTCTGGGACCTCTCCACGGGTGATCCTCATTCGCATGGTGGCATTTTGTGTCACCGGGTGTTTATCGCGTACGTGATGTCCAGGTGGGGTACAACAAGCAAGCAAGCAATTCCCCATTGGATTATTTCCCTTGATTATCTTCAAAGCAGTCTTCATGATAATGTTAGATTAATTGTTGCTTATAGTATTTAGAACTTCAGTAGTAATCTATTCATGACACCTTTGAAGGAACAAAGCAACATTATTTAGTATGTTCATGTATTGAGGCTCGTCTAACATTCTGCTCTTCAGACCTAAGGTCAATCCTACAATATTTCAAACATCTTTTCATAAATGATAATAAAAATCATCGACAGCTATAAATTACAACCACAAGAATGGGCTACAATGTGTGTGGATAAAAGTCATTTGTGTGTCCTCTTTAGGACATCACAGACCAGTACCAGCATATTATTGGCTGTTCTTCAGCATTCCAAGCCCTTGAGGTTGGGTGCTGCAGATATCCCACACCTCCGTTCATCAATGTAATAGGCTCTCTCTTTTCGTTTGATGACTCCAAGTGTTTATAGATGTGCCTGGATTTGATCTCTCTACTGACTTCTTGGGAGTCGTCATGGTGGAGCAGCAAGACGCTCGCCTGCAAATCAGAAGGTCATGGGTTCGCTCCTTGGTGGAGCAGGACCTTTTTAAAAAATGACCTGGAAGTAAAGGTGGCCGGCGTGATGCTGACCACATCACACATATTGTGTCGATTGGTCTAAAAAATATAGGTTTAACCCCATATGCACTATACGTCTAAAGGTGTTTTTGTTTTTTTTCACTTTTACTGTCGTCTTGGTCTCCCTTGTGTACACAGTTTCACACACTCACACTCTCTCTCTCTCATCTGCCATTCTCATTTTTATACCCTAGCCATTTAAGGCTAATAGCCTGCATAATGTTGGTGATCATTGGTGAGTTAAACAGATTTTGATTTCACTGTTGCTTCTTTTTCTCCACCACTCTCCACTCTTTGCGTCTTTGATGGGTCCAGAGATCGTGATAAGACTGTTTAAAAAAAGTTGTAACAAGGCTTCATCTCTTTTAGTTGTGCTGCAGAATTTATAGCCTTGTAAGACAGTCTTTTTTTACAGTTTGTGAATTGGGATTTTGATGTTACAGGCTAGAGCTTTTGATTTTATGAAATGTTGTAGGGCATAGTGCACTATATTTCCAGATTGTATTCCAGAAAAAATTAGAAAAATTATATCGTACTACTTTTTGCTGTTGTTTTATTTAAACTGTTAACCTTACTCGCACATAAGCCATCTGAAACAATAAAACTGTACTGTTATTTACTCTTTAGACATCTCAGCAACTAGAAATGAAAGCAGAAACTTCCAAGAATCAGACTGTGAAGTATTTATATGAGACTGTGGCAAAATTGATAAAGTCAGCAGAAGTTCCAAGTTTAGTAGCAGAAGTTAAAGCTTTATTTGAAGCAAGCAATCGACAGAGTGAGTGCATTTTAAATTTGCCTATGGAAGACACATGCTGGTGCATTGGTGATTGGGAATACTGTAAGTTTTTTATGTTTTATTTATATTATCTAGTTCATTTATTATTTTACATTGATTTCAATATAAAAAATCATATTATGTAGTTATATCTTAGTACTGAGTTCATTCTGGATAATTTTATGTAGTTACTAGCTGTACCCGGCCACGCGTTGCTGTGGCCCAGAATGGTAAACTGGAAAAGAAAGAAAATAGAAAGCGCACCTTTTTTATAAGGTTAATGTCAGTCATTGCACAGCTACAGAGATAGTCTGATATGCCGACTCTAGAACACGCAACATCTCAGTGAATATCTATATTAGTGGTCGAATAAAGTGCACTGTTGGAGAACGAAAAAAAAGATTATTTTTTATTGCAGGCTAAAGCATCTTTTGTGCTTTAACAGGTGAAAGTAAAGCTGACTGCTTTACCTCTAATTGACCAACAAACTGGCACCCCAAAAACAACAAACATTAGAACAGCAGAGGAAGCGGTATTAAAATATAAATATTTAACAGTTTTTGTCATTAATGAACAGTTTTTGATCGAGTGAAGCATCAGAAGGAGACTAGTTGGGACTTTACTGAAATCTGATGTCTTTGGGCGTAAGGCGCAGATATTGCAACTTAGCTGTAAACCACAACACAGCGTGCCAACCACCCCTTTAAGGGGAAAAGAAAAATTTGAACCCAGCGGGGAATCAAACTCTGGTCAAAAGCTGAATACTTACAACTATACTACCGAAGACTGAAGACTTTAGGTCAGATATCGCAGCCTAGCTGTAAACTACAACACAAGGTGCCAAATGCCCTCTCAAAGGTGAAAAAATATTACCCGTGACATGACCATTGAGCATCACGTCGCCGCTATCGCTGGCTAGCTGTAAACCCCAAAACTGAGCGAAAAAAGGCGTGAATATCACAGCCTAGCTATAAACCACAGCTAATCGGGGGAGCCACCCAGTTAGGGCCCCCTAAAAAAACAAATTATATCATCCAGCGGAGAATCGAACGCCAATCATCCGCGTGAAAGGCGGAATGCTAACAACTACGCTACCAAATACTCAAGAATTTTGAAGAAATGAAATTATATAATAATATTGTGAAGTTCAGTGTTACACAGTTAAAGGTGGCCAATCAACTAAAAACAAATCCGGGCCAGCAACGAAACAGCTAATGAAATGATCGTTGCTGGAGCTACGTCGTTCGTAGTTTTTGCAACACTCATACATACAAAGACGCACTGAGTCTAAGGCAACGTTGTGTGAAAATTTAAAAGCGATCAGTAAAGAAATGTCAGAGATGGATCATGGGGGGAAAAGCATCTATTTGCAGCCCTGCTCAGCAGTCGAAGGTGGCCAATCAACTAAAAACAATTCCGGACGGGCAACGAAACATATAATAATTTGATTGTTGCTGGAGCTACGTCGTTCGTGTGTTGTGCGATTTTCTGACAGAAAAACACACGTTGAGTCAAAGGCGACGTTGTGTGAAATTTTGAAAACAATCAGTTCAGTAGTTTTTCAGTCTGTAGGTAACGACCACGGAAAATTAGCATTTTTATTCATATAGATTTTCTGCCGCAGCCTTCATTTCAGAGTAGATAATCCTATTATATAGTTGTCTATATTTCTTGGCATTTACTTTCGTTTAGATAGTCATGTGTAGTTATTTTCTATCTTGACATTCATTTCAATGAATACAATGTGAATCTAAAAATTATATAGTTTTAAAACCAAGCTGGCTACACTGATAACATCCGATGGAAGATGTATTGAAGAAGTTGAATGTAGAATAGCACAAGCAAAGGCAGCTTTTAACAGAATGAAGAAATTTGCAATCTTTCTTTGTCACTTGAGACAAGAAAGAGAATTCTTAGAAACTATATAAATCCTATCCTGATATATTTAAGTGAATCATGGACAATTGGTAGATAAATAAAAAATTATTTGGAAGCTTCAGAGATGTGGTTTTAGAGACGAATGATGAGAATACCCTGGACTGATGAAAATACTAATAAAAATGTCTGGAACGAAACTGATTCACAAAGAAAACTGATAGACAACATCAAAAAGAGTCAAACAAGAGACGAATGATGAGAATACCCTGGACTGTTGAAAATACTAATAAAAATATCTGGAACGAAACTGATTCACAAAGAAAACTGATAGACAACATCAAAAAGAGTCAATCTACATTAGTTGGTCGTGTAATGAGAAGGAGAAACCTGGAGTACATCATGACAGAAGGAAAGCTGGAGGGGAAGAGAGGCAGAGGGAGACCGAGAGAAAAGCTACTGGACAGTTTGACATCATAACATGGATGATGATCTGTAACAGAGTTGATTGAAAGTACACAAGACAGAAGGTTGTGCATAAACATGACTACCAATGCCGCACGGCATAGACTTTAAAAAGTAGAAGTAAATTAAGTCACACATTTTTATTTGTAATGTTATTTTACTTTTAACATATGCCAGTGGAAATTGGAGAAACACTAAAGGCATAGAACAAAAGTTAAATTCATTTGAAAACAAATGCTTAATGAACATTAAATGGGATAAATTCAGCAAAAGTGAAGAAATAAGAGAAGTGTCTGGACAGTCTGGCACTTACAGTTGTAAGACAAGAAAGCTGACAATCTATTGGGCACATCTCCAAATAGTAGACTCTTACGACATGCTTGTAGGAGAGGCAGTGGGTCTGTTCTTTTCCCCACAATGGGGCCCCGGAACCCATACAAGGAGATAATGGGTCAGATATAATCTGATACTGAAAAAATTCACAGAATAGAAGAATAGACTGCGAGCCTTTTGACATATAACATCAAAACAGATTGATGATTTAGTTCAGTGTAGGTAGCCATATTAGGTGGATCTGTTTAAATATCTTGGCATTTAGTTGAATGTAAATAATCTGTGCTACATTCCTGACATATCCCTAGATGCTCCTATCTCTTAACTTGTATGCATTCATTGATTCATTTTGGTGTGTGTCTTGGTAATTACAACATTCCTGACAGTTAATCAGTTATTCGCCATTTCATCTTCACTGCAAATGGGCTATCCCATGATTGCTCCATTCCTGTGCAAGCTAAAACCACACAGAACACCCATTGCTGTCCATGTGGGAAAAATTTGAACAGACTGTACTCACTGCTAATTCAACAGCAAATTCACACATCACATGCACAAAGCAGCCAATACAATTGCCAAAACAAACAGTCTGCCACCAGAATTGCAGTTTGTCATTAATGAAAGCAGCAGTTACAGCAAATCAGCCGCTGCACTTAGTAGCATAAGTTACCACCAGTTCTGTGGCAAGTGGTCATTCACTATTTTCTTAATCTGCAGATTGCAAAACAGTTGAAAAGCATATTAGATTAAATCTGCAGCTCACAGTGTCACACCATAAACCAGCTGAGGCCCAAATCTCTTGACGATGCGACTCTGGTATCACCATCTAAATATCTGTCTTTCTTGTCTAATCCACCCATCACAGTAATAAATCCTGGTTTACATCAAGGGTTGCATTGTGAAATGATTTCACTAACCTCTTAATCACACAGACTAATTTACTACTTATGTACAAATAAGACAAGAGAATACCAATGACAAAAAGCACAGTATGCTATTGAAAAAAATGTAGTAACACTGAGTGTGGTGAGACATATTCAAATAGTTAAGCATACAAAATTGAAATTTGATCAGTTGTCATTGCACTGTAAATTTTTCTATATATAATTTAATGTTTTTTTTCCTACATGCAACATTAATTCTACAGCACAGCATCAAGATGAAAGAACTATGCGATTTGTGGGAATTCTAGATCTGACCACCTCACAACAAGTGACACAGATGACCAGCCTTATATACAAATCTGATATGTCCTACAAAGATCAAGCCATGCAGTTATTGTATTATGCCTGTTTAAATCCTGTGAAAAAGTGCCCAAGACGTCCACATTATGTGAAACTATTGAATACACCAGAAGCCAGGTGATTATTTTTTACATTGATGACAGTGTTGTTCAGGTGCGCAATGTTTTTCAATATTTCTCTTTTTCCGACTCTCTCTCCTTTAGCATTCATGTCTATAACATCATTCAGAAGATGCTGCAAATCTTCATCATGGTTTAACCTTGATCTTTTTTCAGTTTCTGTAACGACAGTTTTTAAAAACTGTTCTTCTTCTTCTGCCTTTCTATCCCCCAATGGAGCATAGGCCCTCTACCAACTCACGCTAATCGTTCTGTCCTTCGTTATTACATACAGCTCTCTTCTCCATGTGTTTTTTGGCCTTCCTTTATTCCTATGCCCCTATGGGTTCCAATGCAAAGACATTCTAGTTTTAAAACTGTACTCTAGTTTAAATCTTTATTGTTGCCTGCTATGATATTCCTTCATTTGAGAGTCAAAATAAGCCAGATCTGTAAACCAAATTTGCACATAATACTCGTCTCATGGAGCAAGCCTAAAATCCAGACATGGACAAAAGGCCAGAACCTTCCGGCAGAGTTCATAGTTGACAAACACACAAGAAAAGGAAGAAGAGTTGTCATCATTTATCAGCTGTTGTTACTTTCTGGAACTAAAAGACTGTTTAACCCTTTCAACAGCATAAAAGTGTTGAAATTCACATTGCATGACTGCTTATAATGCAGGCTGTGTAATATACATTGATAAAATCACAGATGAATACCAGTTCATGTTGAAATGTCTTTGTATCTGCAGAAATGTAACACTGGATCTGACCAGCCTTGGGGTTAACTTTCTTGATTCAAATATGGAAATGGATGGTGATCTGAACAAACCAGCTGAAGAAAGTTCTGTTTGGTTTCGCAGGTGTTTCAGCTGTGGCATTCGAGGAACACCAGACATGTTTACACCATGGTAATGTTATTGTTTGCAATATATATGTGATTTAGTAGTAGTGCTTTCATCACAGGAGCCTTTAAATTACATTTATGAGTTATATAAGTTAAGAACCATGGTCATAGCACTTGAGACATTCTTATAAGTGCTCCATCTCCATCTTCAGCAACCCGTGCTGAGTTCCAGTTCTGATAGTACCAGTAACAGTCTGATTGTTTGTCCTTCTCGCCTCTATCATGAAAGTCAAGCGTTGGCCAGATTCCCTGATCACTCCACACTACACCATTCTGTTTGTGTCTCCCCACTGCTTGCTTGCTCGCTCCCATAGGGCCTTTACATCTAGCTTGTCGTGCATCAGTTTACAACCAAGCAGTGCAGAACCAGTTAGTCTATCTGTTTGTTCATTTCCCAACACACTGGCATACAAAATATCCAAAAGACACTAAAATATGCAGTGAAACATTGGAGTGTGTGATCTGTGTATTACTCCTAAAAGGATTCATTTTTGTTGCTTTTGTGTGCTTTTCTGGTAGTGTAATTTGTGTGATTTGTGACTAACAGTGAAATGTATTTTAAAAAATGGTCCAATATACTGTATTTTCTTCATTATTTACATTCTTAATGAGAAAACATTTCTTTAAATGTCTGTTTATGAGGTTTCTGTCCTGAATTTAGCTATTCTGTATATTATAATCAGTATATTTATGTTATAGAGCCTCTGTGGTATAGCATCTAGATGTTCACCTGTGGATCCGAACTTAACTCTTTGAGTCCCATGGGGTTTAGCATCACAGGCCCAGGGGGTCGTAAAGAAAGTAATAAAATCGGCGCATCATGCGTTCATTGGGCTTCTAGGTAGGAACCTATGAACGTATGATGTGTTCCTTGGGACTCAAAGAGTTAAATGGTCTTGATCCTGACAGAGCCAGTCTCATCAAAATGTTTTCTCAAAATGATCTTGGCTCCCATTTCAACCCACCCTTTAATGGGTACTAGGTAAAGTCCTAGGAAGTAAATGTGGCCTATTTGTTGTTGACGCTAACACCTACTAATTGTCGATTGGTCCATACAATATAGGTCTAGCCCTGTATGCCCAATATGCCTAAAAGCATGTAAAAGGATCCTTTGTTATGTTATTTACATTTTTATGAGCATGTGATGCAAGGACATTAAGTAGTCACAGAAAATGCCCACCGACAAAAGAGGTGCGGTCTTTGAGAAGGACACAAAAAATATCATGGAATGATAGAAAAACAAATGAGGCAGTCCTCCTTGAGACAGATGAAAAACCATAAACTGATGAGAGAAACAAATCAGAGTGCATTTGACCAAGCAGCAAGGAACAACCAGCTGCACACAAATAAGCCAATAAAACATATGCGCACCAAAAACTCAGGCCCTGGCACAAAGCCAAAGTCCAAGTGGATGAACAACCAGGACTTTTCGCCAGAGCTTACAGTCAGTGAACAAAGAAGAACAAATATTGTTTGGATATAGAAATAGACTTGAGAACTCAGTGAGTGACTGACAAGATTGATGGCGAAAAGGCCAGGAAAGCAAAGAGGTTAATACCTGGATGGATTGGCTGTGTGGATAGGGTTAGAAAAAAGTACTGACCTTACCAGTGATTCTGGTGATTGTGAAATATGACCGCCAGGGCTTATCAGCGTGGCACATTATAATGATGATGAGATGTAAGAGTTTTTTAACTTGTATTATTAACTTTTTCAGTCCATAGGAACACACTATGTGTTCATAGATTCCTACCTACCAGCCCTTTAGACACAAGATGTACCAATTTTAAGTCTCTTCTTTAACTACCTCTTGGGCTTCTAATGCGTAAACCCCCTGGAACTGGAAAAGTTAATGAAAGCGTTTCAGTCAGAATTGACATCCCAGCGCTTGGGACATTCCCATAGGCACTTTGTCCCTGTTTTCACCAGCAGCAAAAATGTTGATTTTTTTTCAACGGTACTGGTAACACTCTGAATATAAAATCGTCTCGCCTTTTCTGTAACTTGTATATTTAAGTATTGAAAACTATTTATACTGTTTTCCTACCAGCTCTGAGTGCAGTGCAGTAATGTACTGTGATCGTGAGTGCCAGGTAAACTCCTGGAAACAGCGGCACAAAAAATGGTGTAAAAAGTTCAAGCAATTCATGAAAATGGAACATCAGCTTGCAGAGTTTCCTTTTACATTTTCTAAAAGTAAGAAAATTGTTTAGTCTTTTGCCACTTTGTTTGTCATATTTAGTTATATTATTTATAGAACATGATTACTGTATTCTAATGTTCAGACTGCATACCGGTCCCATTCTGTACTTCTAAGTAGCTCACAGATTATTTATTTAAGTGCAGATGAGAAAATTTTATAGTGTAAATGGTTATATTTCACGTTTTTCTAATTTTTATTTTTTTATTTTTTAGAGTATTGGAAGAAAGTAAGACTGTTGGTCCTATATAATTTACTTTCTGATAGTGAAAGGCTCAACAGCGAACAAAAGAAGAAGAAAAAGAAAAAGCACAGCTATTTCAGGTATTCTGCAGATTATAAGAGGAAAATAAGTACTGTGAAAATTCATGAATCAAAGAGGCAAAATAAACCAGTGTCTCTGTACAGCATATCCTATTCCATACATGCATTGAAATGTAAGTACCAGTTAACTTAACAAAAATACAGCATGGAAACAAAAAAGCAGAACAAATCTTTAAATGGTTTTGCACAGAGGTGAGTGTAGATCCTGCAAGCATGACAAGATCAGCTAAGACAAGAGAACCTAATTCCTCAATAGGACATCATTTACTTGACTCCAGGTGCGTATTATGCGTTCCAGGTTATTTACCACAAACTAAATAAGCGCTTACTAAAACTGGCGAAAGCCGTGATTAATAAAATGAATAATCCCACCTTATGACCTTGTAGTCAGTTTACATATGAGGGGAAGTGAATGAGTAGGTCAAAAATGGTTGTTTAAAAAAAATACTAAAGATGATAACAACTTGAAAACCGTTTATTTGTACACATACACTGTCCCTTTATTTTTCAACATAATTTCCACCAACGTTGATGCATTTTCCCCCATTGTTTTATCATTCCTCCCAAACCTACTGCATAGAACTGCCTGCTCTGTTTTCTAAACCATATTTTCCCTTTATTTTCAACCACTGCATAAATAATTCGTGAAATGTCTCCTGCCAAAGTGGGTTTTCAGTGGACCAAAAGGGTGGACATTGCTAGGGGCTAAGTCGGGGCTATGAGGTGGATGTTCCAGAAGTTCCCTACCTAGATGGTTAATTTGCTCCTGAATTAATAAAGCCATGTGTGGTCTGGCATTGTCATGAAGGATACTCTAGTCAGCAGGCCTGGACATTTTCTTCTAACTGTATCAGGGAGCATCGATAGAACTTTACAGTATGAATCAGCTTTCACATTGTCACCTTTTCTTTTCCTTAAATTGGTTAAAAGCACTATTTGACAATCCAAGAATGCTGTCATCATAACCTTCCCTGCTGACAGAGTAACCTTGAGTTTTTTAACGCATGGTGAAGAAGGATGTTTTCAGTGCATTGAAGCACGTTTTGATTTGGGCTAGTAGTAATGTACCCTTGATTCACCCCAGTAATAATCCTGTACAGTCTTCTCCTTCACCTGCATATCGACAGGAAGCATTTCCTAATAAATATCCTTTGCAGGCAGCACGTTGTTCTTTGAGGGTACACTCCGTAAGTCCAGTAGCCTTTTGTTTCTGTGTTGCGAATGGGCATGCAACACCTAGTGCCACCTAGAAAAGAGACATAAAGTTTGATGTTGCTGTCACCCAATGACACCTTTAGAAACCACAAACTACATTTTCCTGCCATCCCATAACCATTTGTGACTTATTTATTGACTTCCCCTTGTAATATTAACATTTGCCTTTAAATAATCAGTTTTATTATATATTTGTTACCATCTTTGTTATGTACAAACTGCACTTGTATAAATAAGCAAAAAAAACCAATACAATAAAGTACTGTACATGTGAATTCTTTAAACAGCTTCTACAAGTCTGAACTTTACCAGAGAAAAGTTGAAATGTTTCTTAGAAGAAAATGATGTGTACAATAAAGGCTTGTGGAGACGTGAATGTCCATCGTATAGAGGAACCAAGGCTGATATTCCATTTGGTAAGTGCAACTTAGGTTAGCAGGAAACTCCATCAAACAAGCATATGTAAAAGAAGGTTTCTTATCGCAAGAATAAGTACATGTAGATAAGTGATGTAAACAACCCTTTTCACACCATCAGTGCAAAGTGCATGTGATGCCAGATTCAAATTTTTAAATGGATGAATTGGCACTTGATGTTGCCAACATCATGATGGCTGCCTTTACTTCCTAGGATGTTTCTTTGTACCTGTTTTAGGCTGCGTAGACCTGGGAGCAAAGATAACATGCACAGAACCTGCTCTGGGTGGATTCCAACCCGAGAGGTTTTGGCCGCTAGGCAAGGTCACCTCCCTGCTTTGGGCCTTGATAGTTTACTAACTTTATAGTTGTTTTTCTATTTTAAACTTCCTTACTTTCACTTCATACATTTCCCCATGTTATTTCCAGGACTTCATTTTGGGGGTAAAGATATAAAACCAGTGAAAAGTAGATCAGCGAGCTTCACAATATAACAAACACAAACAAAACGTGAATGTTGTGGCTATAGCGTCTTCATCAGCACATACATAAATCAAACAAAACCACAAGAATAACACATCATCACTTAACTGACATATCCCGAAGCAACCTTGTTGATGTCAGTGAAAAAAAAAACAACAGACCAACTGCCTTTATCAAGTATAATTGTACAAGGAAACTGTTTAGGGGTGTTTCCTTCAAAGAGAAGTACATCTATCTGAGAGATAAGGAACCAGCAGTTTGCATACATATAAGGGAGATCTTTAAATTGGATTTACAACAACAAAAAAGTGAAGTTCTGGAATAAGACTAAAGTCCAGAAGTGGACAATCAACCAGAGCTTTCCAGTAGACTTTACAGCCAGTGAACTCCAAGAAGAATGAAACGTATACTTCAAGATTATATCTTCAGTTGTGTTTGTGCTACTTTTTGGCTGCCAGCTACAAATTAAAAGTTGGTAGGTTAGTTGGGTATCCTTTACAGGACGTTGCAGAACCAACCCCAGCAGCCCCTGGCTGTTGTGTGGTTTCTCTAGGTAAATTTACGTCCAGTAGTTTGCCAATGCTTTCTGGACAGTCGGCCCCCTGATACCACTGTCGAAACTAACGCAAGGCGCATGGCCCACAGCTGGGATCGAACCCAGCACCCCGGCATTACGAAGCGTTCATATCGACTTAGCCACAGAGCCGACTTAAAAGTTGGTATATGTCTAAAATGTTATTAGAATTAATTAATTAATTAATCAATTAGTCAAGGGCCATCTCCACAATCAAGGATGAAGATGGAATCAGTGGATCTTCAACACTCTCTGTCTCTTGTCTTAGTAGTACACTCTCTTAGACTTCTGTTCGTCCATCTCTTGATGTGTTATCCTCTCATGTGTACCATTGTCTACCTCTTGCTCTCTTGCCTTCAACTTTTTCATGGTATTGATGCTTTTCCTGCCTTCCTATCTGGAATATATATATATATATATATATATATATATATATATATATATATATATATATATATATATAATATATATATATATATATATATATATATATATATATATATATATATATATATATAAATATATATATTATATATATATATTATATATATATATATATATATATATATATATATATATATATATATATATATATATATATATTTTTTTTTTTTTAAGCATCATTTTTATGTGATATTAGCTGATTTGATTCTAAACAGTATTAATTAGCAAACAGGACAAGTTAAAATAGAAATTCTCTGGCCTCAATCAACATAAGACTAATCATGCCATCTCTGGTTTATTTCAACTATATAAAGAGCAGATGGCCAAGTGTTTAAAATGCTTGGTTCTCATTCCAGAGACCTAGGTTTGAATCAGTAAAGTGATGTTTTTTTTTTTTAATATGTGTGTGGGGGGGGGGGGGGGAAATGGGAATCCTAACCTGCAAGGGGGAAGGGGGGGAGGATGGGAATCCTAACCTGCAAGGGGGAAGGGGGGGAGATGGGAATCCTAACCTGGCAGAAGCACTAGCCATTTGACTGTAAAACCTCAGGCTCAAGACTTCATGTCTTATACTGTCCTTAAAGTGAAAAATACTGACAATAAAGGCAGGTTTTTTTTTTTTTAATCATCATGCTGCCTTAGTTCATCCTCATTAAGTAGCAGGTCCTTTGCTGGTTTCCACCAGCTGTCCGTAATTAACTTATTTACTCCAGGATATGATTTATATAAGCTCTTGATATTGCTCTTTCTCAAAAACTACTGAACGTAACACTGCCTAGATAAACTACACAACAGTCAATAAATTCTGGTGTTTTGTCTGTGAAGACCAGAAAAATATATGTAACTAATTTTTGTTTTAAATTACAGGAGAGCTGCCTTCCACATCAAGTCCTTATGCTTTACCTTTAGAAAGTGCAGTGTTAGAGGCTACCTCATTGAATAAAGAACCACTATCCTTGGACAGACCTTTGGAGAGCTGGAAATTATTATAACTACAGGGGTTTCTGGTTAGATTCCCCCATTGCAGGACTGCTCCATTACCCTTTGACTTTGTATTGGATTATTGTGAGCTGGCTGCCTGAGCATTGTAAGTTTGTATTCTCTTACATGTTCATAAACCTTAGTACAGTCAAACCTCGTTAATATGAAGTCTAAGGGGAGAAAACTCAAAAGTTCATGTTAAAAAAATGTCCTCACCAGGGTTTAAATTAATACATCCATGCAGGAATCAACATTTTATTCATGTTAATTGAGCGTTCTTAAATAAGTTTGTGTTAACAAGGTTTTACTGTAATATCTGACACAGTGAATATATGGAACATGGTTACTTAACTCTTTCATTGCAGGAAGTTGTTACTTCAATGATTTATATCCTAAAGGTTTGCTTCTTTGATGGAATTAAATGTTTGATCCTTAAAAAAGAATACAGTAATAAAACTAAACCACAAAACAGTGTGCCAACTGCCTTTTTAGGCTCAATGGAAGACAAAAAAGACAAAATATTTCTGGTACCGAACTGTTTATGCTTTTCACTACTTATTTGTATATTTTTCTTAGCTTCTGTTAACAAGTTTTTCCCCACATAAGGCGAATTTCTCTAAATCACTACTTTTGTTATGTTCATCTGTTTAATTGGCACTTTAATAATGATGCCAATGCTATATAAATACTCCATGCTTGCTTTTATTTTCACTCTGCCTTTAATACTTTCCGCGTTTTTTGGTAAAAACTGTATCTCTACTGTTTTTAGTTTCATCAGCATAGTCGAGGCTTCATATCTAATTGGTTCTTCTGCATTTGTTATAGTATTTATATTTTTTATAATGTTGCTATTTTAGTAAAAGAGCTCTGTCAGATAGTGATTCCTTCTTTACCTCTTTTCATATTTTCCATATAATGTTGCTGTGTAGCCTACCTAGATATTTTAAATGATCTATTTGTTTTATTTTTACACATAAAGAATATATAGAATTTGTTGGATTTGTTTGCTTTTTTTTCAGAACCACCGTGCCATCATACTTTCATGGTGTGTGTGAGTGCAAGAGAGAGAGAGAGAGAGAGAGAGATTTATAGTAAAATATATAGACACTAAATTTTAAATAAGAAAAGTTGGGATTATATTGTTTGTTGTTTGTTTGTTTTAGTATCCAGAAGCCATGAGTTGTTAACCCTTAGGCTCGGTATTATGGATATCGCAACCTTTCGGCCTTGATTCCATTGTAAATACCGTAAATCTGGGAGAAAATATGGCTTTCCTGCCTACCCCCAGGATTGAACCCGGACCACAAGGAGTACGTCACCCGGTCTCCGCGAAATCCGGTTTAGCCAATTCCGCTAGAGAGCCGGGCTTGGGATTATATAAATGTTACAAAGTGACAACCAACTTTTCATTCACAAACTGTGGGTGGTGTTTGTTTATTCTGTGATTTCATTGCTGTCTTTACAATGTCTGAGATAACGTTTGTGACCTGTGGCTTGTTTATATATTGTCTGCTTGGTGTTGACCAGATGTAGACGTATTCAAGAAGATGAAAACATCTGGCTGTCTTCAAGTGCATATTATAGGAGCTGAAAGGGAAGCTGAAATGTTTGATCCTTTTCTGGTAAGTTTTCAGTCTCAGAGGCATTCATTCAGATATACTGAAATAAAATACACTAAATGAATCACTGTTAATGTGATGGCATAAACTAGAACTGTTCTATACACATAGAAACAGTAATCCTTAGTAATCACCAGTCTCGGAAGTGTTTCTATTTCTTCTGCTGCATTTGCCCTTGAAATGGCGGTTGGCAGGTTATGATATGGTTTAAGCAAGGCTGCGATATCTGCACCTTTCGATACATCTCATTTAAGGGAACCCCTAATTAGTAGCATTCTATGACATCCTTGTTTTCCACCAAAATTGGGGCCCTGGAACCCACATAGAGAATACAGTGGAACAACCAGTGATCTTTAGTAATCACTCATCCCATAAATGTTTCAAAGAATCCAGTATGTAATTAGAGGTCTTTTGCAGTACGTTTATACTGGAAAGATCCATTACATTGCGGGTGTCCCGGCCTCATTATTTTCATGCTAAAGTTATTTTTAATGTTATGTGCCCATCTTTAATATGGCTGACTTCTGCTTCTTCCAGAAATTACTTCTTTCATTAACTGTTCATCCGGCCCAGTGTAGAGGATAGACAAGACAGTTCATTTAGCCTTAAGTTATTTTTGCTTCTAGCAGCGGTTTTATAATGCAGTTTCCACCAGTCTTAGGCACTGCTGCCTAAGCTGCTAGAGTTAAGTGTTTGGTAAAGCACTGTGAGTTGTGTATTTCATGTAAGGACTCTCTGTCTGTGACTACAGGGGTTGTGTTATGATGTTTACAATATGGCGGGTAGCTGTTGGGCGTTTAAGCTGGCGAAAAACCTTTTGCAAAAATATTGCTGTGGAATAGAACAAATAGAGAATCCATACATTGAAAGACTAATTCAACAGTATAGAGGGTCTAGAATATATTCAACAATGAGGTGGACTGACTGACTGATTCACTTTCTACCCCACTAGGACATCACACAAGCGATAAACACCCGATGACACAATGTGCCACCATGTGAATGAGAATCACAATGGAGTGGTCCCAGAAACAGCATTCAGCCACTAGGCAATATTTATGGCATGGCTATATTGCGGCCCCCGGCATGAACCAGAGTAGGGCTTCAAATAATGAAAAATGGTATCCTAAAAAGGACGTGAGATTGGATCAACAACCTCAGTGTCAGTTGAGGTAAAAACCAGGTTGCTAATGGTTCTATAAGCATGATGATTTTTTTTTGGCTACTGAAGAAGGAGACGGAGCACATGTGGGAATGTCCCAAGAGCAAGCATGTAAATTCTGGATTCATTCATTGCTACTGCTTTTCTTATAGAATGATTGCAGTGTTTAATATGTTTGCAGTGTTCTAGTTTCTTAGACATGATGCTGTTTATGAGCTAGATTTCTTTAAAGTTCACGTATATTAAAATGTTTCTTCTTCTTAATCCATGGTATTTACAACTTTCCATTCCATCATCATTTGTTGTGTGTGTGGCTCTATTTTAATTGCTGCATTTGTAATTACCATCCAGGCTGACTGGCATTCAACCCCACCAGGACACAAAGTGCCACCATTCAGATGCGGATCACCAGGGGACAGGTTCCAAAAACCCCATTCAACCCTTAAGTTGGGTTATATTAGGACCCCTGACCACAGCTGGGGTGGGGCTTTAAAACAAAAGATTGCATCCCAAACCGTTCTATTTACTAAATAGAATCATCAGTCATGATTTTATTTTTGTTATCTTTCTGTTATTTTCTCATTCATTATTATGAAATTATTATGAAGTTTCACTTGTTAAAGACTATTTTACATGAAGTATGTGAGCCTGAGGATTTAAGGCTGCATGGCAAGCACTGTTGCCATCGACTGTATAGGTTTACGCAGACTGTCTACCAGCTTAAAATAGGAATTAGGTAATGTTCAGGGAAATAAAGGCAGCCGGTGTGATGTTTACGTCATCCACTGAGTGCCTATTGGTCTATGAAAATATGAGTCTAGCATCATATGTCCGATGCGCCATTGGTACAAAAGGGGTCTTTCTACTTCACTTAAATTTTATTTTTGCCAGGAGTGTGCTCGATTACTGGCGCCCATTCATCTGCACTTACATTTGTTTGGCAATGAATTGTCCAAACATATCCACAACAATTGCCAGACCAAAGAGAATCTGACATTCCAAGTCCATTGCAGCCTTTACCATGAATATCAGCTGTTGGAGCTGCCAGCTCCTGATCTGGCCGTAGGTAAGAATTAATCATATTTAGGACCATTCTAAAGAATTCCCTGAGTGAGTTCTGAGGAATGGTGGGGGAATACACCCACTCTCCTTTAAGTATGTTGTAAAAGGTGACATAAGATTTTGCTGAATTCGATTGTGTTGGGCCCAAAGGCACATACACTTCGTTAGCACTTTTAAAGGTAAGATTGGAAGAAGATTCTAAAGAATTGCTCATCAGTTACATATTGGTTGGTTGGTGAATACTTTGGAAGTGTTTTCACTGTTAAGTCTTACTTTTTACACTGGGGTTATCTGAGACCTGACAGGCTGTTGAAGATGAGGCAGAGACTTTCCTCCTTAGTTCTGAAGTATAATCTCTAAAGGGACTGTGTTGCAGAGGTCTTTTTCTTCTCTCTAAGCTCAAATTTCAGTTATATTTACAAGAACAGTATTGGAACTTCACCCCTGAAGATAGTGGTCATTTTAACTTGGACATTATATGCTGTGAGACCTAGGATTTCAAGTGTTTAATGAGTGCCGCCACTAGTGTTCTAAAGTATTAGTACTTGAATGGATGACAATATATCTGGCACGACTTATAGTAACATCACTGCGGGTCAGCAGATCGTCAATTTACACAAGAGAAAGTGCATGGGGGATCATAGCAAAAGCGAATGGACTCTGCTTAGTGCAGCAAAGCCTGGCATATGATATCACAATGTCTAGTTTGAGATTGGAGGTGGAGGCAGTCACTGCTGCCTTCGGCTGGGTTGAGAATCAGCTGTACACACATGTTGTAATTGTAACTGACTCACAGAATATGTTGAGAAAGGTGGAGACATGCATGCTCCGTGCAGAGTGACAGGCATCGCTTCAGAGGTCCCAAGTAGTTAGCGTCCTTTGAATATTTTTTTCAGGTCATGCTGGAAAATGAGCAGGTAGATAAACTGGTTGGTTCTGCACCACTTAGTAATGATTTGATGTATGACAAGCTAAGTATTGTGAGAACCCTTTGGGAGCGAGTACACTGGGGAGGCAGAAAGAGATCCCAGCACTGATGGGAGTTACCAGGGGATCTGGCCGACACTCAGCACTCAAGGGAAAGGTGAGAAAGATGTACCTTCAAAGAGTTACTAGTACCATTGAATTTAGAACTCTTCGCTTGCTGCTGAAGATGGGTACGGAGCGCTTGTGGGAGAGTCCCGAGTGTTGTGATGTTGAGTCTTAATTCAACACTCAAAACTAGCATGTCAGTTTTTGATAAATTGATTTAGACACTGTAGAAAACAAATAATATATTGCATAATTTATTTCTTGATATATTTCACTGCACCTCAACAGATGCACAATAGTAGTTGAATAAGGAGAAGCAAATAAACTAAACTGATTTTGTATGTCGGTTGAGAAAAAAATGTCATTTGTATACTTCATTTTATTCACTTGTTACTGTAGTCTGGTCTGGTAGTCTTAGTTTCAGCTTCATAGCAAACGGGTTACCCCATCTTTGCTCTGCTCCTGTGCCAATGAAAAACACACAGAATGTTTATCACAGACCCTTGTGGAAAGATTGACAGACTGCTGTCTCAGCATATCTAGCACACATACGCATTAAAGCATACGGTAGCCATCCGAAGTATGATGTCTCAGTACAGTATTGATATTATTATTTGTGCTAACACAAACAGTGTGACATTAGAAATGCAGTTCATCATTGATGGTAGCAGAAGTCACCAACAGATCAAAAGTTGCCCATGCAATCGATTTTAATCAATACGGGCACCACCAACATTGCGACAACAGGCATCGCACCATTTTCTGAATCTACAATTCACACCACCACATTGGTCACAGTCGAAAAAACATTTCAAATGAAATCCGCAGCTTACATTGTCAGGCCATGCATTCAACTCAGAAGCTGGGCGACAAAACTATAGCCAGTCTACAAATGGAGCAAAAATGCATCGGCCACCGTCCGGCAGAAGCAAAAAATGTTCCTCGGCTCTGAACAGTGCCCCTGCCTAGCGTCCATTTTGACACACAGCTGATGAGATACAGTGAAATATACCAGGCAGCAAATTGTGCCGTCTATTGTTTGTGTCTTCTCTGTTCAAATGTACAATAGGGAAACATTGCTTTGAAGATAATTTGATGAATACAGCTGAAAGTGATGTTCACTGCACACTGAATTTAATGTAACTTAAATCTTTTGATCGTCCTAGATATTTCGGGGAAATGTATATTGGTGTAATGATTGTGTGTGTGAGGACTTGAGAAAATGAATGAAAATAAGACTGAAATAAAAAACCTACAGTTGGGAAGGGGGAAGCTGAGATATGAATGTATTTTGTGCTCTAACTGAGTTTTCTATTCACAGGTTTCAATGCTGGACTCAGTGCTTACAGCACATTCATACAGACTGTCAAGTTACTGCTTGTAAGTGTTGGATGCTGGTTCAGTTATCCAATTATTACTTCACTTTGTTATCTACACTTATCAAGTTATTACTTGGATATCTATAATTATGAAGCCATTATTTGTGTTATTTAACTCTTTGAGTCCCAAAGAACGCATCATGCGTTCATTGGTTCCTACCTAGAAGCCCAATGTACGCATGATGCGCCGATTTTATAACTCTCGTTACTACCCCCTGGGCCTGTGATGCTAAACCCCATGGAACTCAAAGAGTTAATACAGTTATCAAGTGATAACTTGAATTCGCTACACTTTTGGGGTTACTGCTTGTAATAGCTGTAGTTATTACTTGAGTCTGTTTGCTACAGTTATCCAGTATTACTTGTATTAGCTACAGTTATCAACTTATTATTTGTGTTAACCTAGTGTTAGCTATATTTATCAAATTACTACCTCTAATTGTTAGCTAAAGTCAAGTCAAGTAAAGGACCCTTTTTATACCTGTGGTGAATTGGGCTTTTCTGGCTAGACATATTTGTATGGATAAATTACCTCTCTGTGGGCGTTGTGGTCTAAACATCACACTGGAGGCCCTTACTTCAATAGGCAATACCTGGTATCCATTTTTGGTTTGGTTGACAAGCAAGCACAGAGTGCTTTTGGTCGACAAAAAAATGTTTACTTGCATCACATGCTTAATGGACCACTAGTTAACACACACAAAAATGGGAAAGGGTTTAGGGGGGAGTCCTTTAGTTTTTATTCTGTTCATTGTGGTTTTTGTAGCAGCTAGAATCTTGCTCTTTGGCCCAGAGGTTTTGAGTTTGAATCCATGTTGAGGTTGATATAGCTTGAAAAAAGCATCAGGAAATGTCCTGGGAATTAAAGACAGCTGGCATGATGTGGACCACATCATCTATCAAGTACCATTTAGTCTAAACAAATATTGGTCTCATGCCCAATGTACTAATGGCACGAAAAGGGAACAACATGCAGAATGTCTAATATTCATATTAGTTATTATAAATCCTGCCCTCTCCTGTTATGTTATAAATCTGTTTCTGCAGGAAGAGAGGACTGCTTTCTTCTGTACAGACTACTGCTACTACAGTGTTGTTCATTCTCAGAGAGCACTCTCTAACAGCCATATAGGCAGAATGCTCCATCCAGTCATCAATCCTTTCCGCAGTCCTTTTCGCCTGCCAGCAGAAGAGGTCAACTTTCCTCGCTACAGTAATGCTTTCATATTCTGCCTGAAACCTTACGATGATAATGTTAAAGAACCAAATACATGGGAAGGTATTGTCAGTAATATCGTGTGAAATAAACAGGCAACTACAGTCCATCATGCTTAGACCTCTGGTGAACCAAATGGGTCAGCTGATGAAGCAAACTGTTTTCTAGTGGATCCCAGACTACTGCAACATTACAGAAAATTAAAGAGCAGACTACTGAGCACAAATCTGGAGCGATACAGAACAACCAGATGCAGGATGCACATATGAAAGAAAAAAAAAAAAAAGATTGAGGCGGCCTTTAGAATCTGTTGGAACACTTTCCACACAGAACACGCTGAAGACCCAATCAACCTCAAATAAAAGAAAAATATATTATGCTGCCACAGTTGTATGTGCAGGAAATTCAAGACTGGGGACAGACATCCCAGAATAGTGAATATGTACTCAGACTATAACTGTAGAAAGATCCAGTACTGGTCTTTTGGATTTCCTGTGGAAACCAAGTTGTATGGATAAGTGGAGGATAGGGGTCATATCACAGCCTTCATAGAGGCTTGGGGCTTTCTGGTCTGAAAACCATTGGCAGAGAGAACATAAAAGAAGAAGAAGATGTGGCTGGCCTACTCAGTGCTCTGAACGGCAGGGGAGCGTCTAGCCACTACACTGCCATGGCTTCCATGTTTAACAAATATTCAAACCTCTTTAATTTTTATCTAATACATGCACTCAAACATTATTAATTGTGTGAGAATAACTGACTTGCAGTTTAGTCAGCCCATTTTATGTAACCTGTTAAACAATTGTGTGTGTGTACTGTGTAATAAATATAGAGACAGCCTACTTTTGAAAATTTACATTTGTTAACTTTTTTGTACGATGAACAACAGCCACTTAATTTTCAGAAGTGATCTTGAGCATATAATGCTCATATAAGGGTATCTCATACCCTTGTGAAATAATGTTTGTTACCCAGGAAGACAATGCAGATGTATGATGGTTGGCTTGGAGGCGCTTATAAACTTATACAATTAATCTAGTAGCAGGAAGAAATGCTGACTGAGAGAGCATGCCTCCCCACCCTTCTTTTCTTTAGAGAAAATAAAATATACTTTTCCACATCATACATCTGCAATATAGAAATGTGAGTAATGAACCATTTCACAAACACTGATAGTTAAAAAAAAAAAAAAAAGCTTCAGAACTTAAATTTGATTTTCTCAGATCTGGTAGATCAAGGGGGAAAAAATAACATTCTACAATGAAATTGACACACTTTTTTACCCCACCTCAACTAATATTCAGGTTTTCCACACGAGTGTAACGAGACTTTCATACAAATGGTATGACAAAAGAGTATTACTGTCGACACCCTCACTTTCTAGTAATATTCTGTGATTTGTCAAAATAAAGGAAGAAATCTGGCTCAGGAACAATATCACATTTTGGGATTTGAAGCACTTCAGACATATTACATTTTACACTGAATTAGAAAGGGGCAGTAATTGATTGCATGGTTCCTGGAAGAAAAGGCAGAGGTAGACCAGCTCAAAAATGGACATAGGTCATTGGAAACACCTTGGGTATGAGAATACAACAGACAGGGGAACTGACAAGGGCCCAAGAATTTTACTTGCAGCGGTGATGGTTGTGACAGTCAGCAGAGGACCTGCTATATGAAAATGAAGCCATTTAATTAATGAACTGTTCACTATATTAATGTTTCTGTTAACATCACTTAGGCTCTTTGGGAAAGACTGACAAAGATACACAAAGTCGTGAAGATTTACATTTCTTGTGTTCATTTCAGACTAAAAGTACAACAACGACAACAAAAATTTCACACCACAAGCAAACTCAGTGTATAATGCTAGATTCTTATTTTAATAAAACAATCTTCTTATTCTGTGCTCACTGGCTCCGGTGGAAAGTCCTGGTTGTCTGTCCATTTGGACTTTGGCTTTGTGTTAGGGCCTGAGTTTTACCCGAAAATGCTGAGCATGTGCTATGTGCTCCAACACTGTCAACTGTATGCTGACAACAGAGACGCAATCTGGCCTGTTCCAACCACACTGAAGACAAAACTGTATGGTACACGAGAGGATATGGATTGCACGACAGCTTTCATAAAGGCTACCGGCCTCCTGATATAAGTTTTCTGTCAGAAGGATGGAAGAAGAAGAGTGGGTGGTGTGGTCAATATCACACCAATTGTCGTTACAGGGAAAATCCTTGTACCGTTTTAGGCTGGGTGGACCTGGGAGCCAAGGACATTTTAAAATTTGCCTCAGTGTGAATTCAAACCTCAGATCATCAGATCAGTAAAGAAGAAATGTGCATTGGGTCGCATGCGGATATGCACTAAAACACACCAATACAGTCGAGTTCACTTAAGTCGAACTCGGATAAGTCAAATTTAGGTTAAGTCGACATGACCAGCTTAGTCCCAGCAATTTTCTCTATTGTGTGTGCTGTCTGGATAAGTAGAAATCCTGATAATTGGAAGCATTTTCTTAGGTCCCTGCGAATTCTACTTATCCAGACTCGACTGTACTGAATGAGCAAATAATACGTCAAAACATTATGTTGTTAAGCAATTGGGGTCTATAGCATTTGCAGTCGAAAGGTTCAAGTAGGCAGACGTGTGGCCAGACCTTGGTGGATCCTTGAGGAAGTTTTACCCAGGATTCCGTGGAGACATCTCAGCCGAGAGCTGGTACACTATTGTGTTCTGCAGGAAAGCAGAATTATTTTAAGCTTTTTTATCCCTCAGCTGAAAAGTTCGCAGATTTAAGAAGAAGGGACATTGCCCTGTTATGAAGTATCGGACTGCAGATGAATTGGTTATAGTAACCGTTTAGACTCTCAAGGTCGTACTGTTGACCCGTAAGGAGTTGTTTAGAATATGTCATTAGACTATGGATTCTAATGTTTCGAGACGAATGTGAGTGCGCTAGCGCGTGCTTGGAGTATTTGGGTGAGTTATAACCACGTATCAAGTTATTGCACATTTTCATTCGGATCATCATCATCATCAGGTGCCTTGCCGACTGGCATGGGCGATCATGCCTCTCCATAATCTGCGATCTCCTGCAGCATGTATCAGTTCATGTGCTGACACACCTCCATGCCATGCAGCAGACTGTCAAGCATCTTCTCTCGTTGTCTTCCTCTATCCCTCCTTCCACAGATCTTTCCAGTGGTCACAACATGTTCTATTTTCCCTCTTCTCATAACATGGCTGAAAAATGATAACTGTCTCCTTCTGATGTCTGTGATGTTGTCTTCGGGCTCCACCTGTTTCAAAACCTCTTGGTTGCTCTTTTTGGCTGTCCAAGCATTTTTCTGTAAAACCACATCTCTGAGGCCTCAAGAAATTGTTTGGCCTGCCTACCAATTGTCCAGGATTCACAGCCATGTGTTAAAACTGGATGTATGTAGCAAGCAAGAATTCTTTTTCTGACTCTCAATGACAAGGATATTTTGCACAAGATGTTTTTCATTTTTGTAAGTTAATTCACGTTTGGACACATTCAAGTTTACTGTTATTGTTACGGTTATCATGTTGCATCATTGGAAATAATCTCCAACTATTTTCCCCACACTAGGTTTGTAGGATGTAATATCTTTTATGCTGCACTCGTTATCTTGTACCTGATCGCACGTCTTAAATTGCTCAACCACTTCTCTCACATTTCAGTTTAGTTTTAGTGATAATCTTGGGTAAAGAAATAATAAGTTACATTATAAAAAGTAATATTCCACTTCTTGCTGGATGTCTTTTGTTTGTTGGTATCTGTAACACAAACTAACCTGAAATGTATATTTGATCCTATAATATTTAAAAAAAAAAAAAAAATACAAAAATCAACTGAATTATCCAAAAGACATTTTAATCAGAATACATTTTTTGAAATACATTCTGTTTCATACACAAAGGGGGTAGGGTATAAACAATGACAGGTGTAGAAGCTGAGGTTTCGGAAACCTGCATTGCCACACAGGTTGAACTAAGACTGTGTGCTTCTCCCTCCATCCCTTATCTTTCTATTTTATGATACACACAACATTTGCAGCTTTCTACTTTAAAATATAAAACAAGCAGCTACTGAAAAAATAGAATATTCAAAGCAGTAAAGGTACAGACATATTATCCAAATGGGAATATGCAACCTCATTTGGGTTCCGAGGAGCCCCACTGAGGGGAAAACAAGAATAGACCTACTTCCTCCCTGAAAAAAGCAAGTCATCTGAGTCGCCTAACTGGGAGCTTCCTTCGAAGTCTGAGTGTGTCTGCCTGAGAGGCAAGGAATCAACAGTCTGTATACAAATAAGCCAGATGTGTAAAATAGATGCGCAGGTAACACTCAGCTTCTGGAACGTGACTAAGTCCGGAGGTGGACAAACAACAATATGCATGTTGTGATAATCAGATTATACATCATTTCACACATTAAAAAATATTAACTCGATTATATGATCTCACAAGTCAGCAAATATTATTTACATAAAGTTCAATCAAACATCAGCTGCACTCCATACTGATCAAAGATTAATTAAAATAGAGAGCAATCAAACATTTCCTGCACTCAATAATGATCAAGTGATAATTAAAATAAAGAGCATAAACATCACGTGCACTCAGTAATGATCAAGTGATAATTAAAATGAAGAGCAATCAAACATCTTCTTCACTAACTAATGATCAAGTGATAATTAAAATGAAGAGCAATCAAACTAATGATCAAGTGAAAATTAAAAAGAAGAGCAATAAAACATCACCTTCACTAACTAATGATCAAGTGATTAATAAAATAAAGAGCAATCAAACATTTCCTGCACTCAATAATGATCAAGTGATAATTAAAGAGCATAAACATCACGTGCACTAACTAATGATCAGGTGATAACTAAAATGAAGAGCAATCAAACATTTCTTGGGCCCCTGCTGAGCTTTCCTTATCAATTCTGGACTGTATCAGGTTTCGAATAAAAACCTTAAAAGTATGACAGAAACTAAAGTAACAATGCCAATATCTTGTAACCTGTAAATAATGTTGTTAAAGATGTCAAGAGTGTTAAGCAAT